TGATGATGATGATGATGATGATAATGATAATGAGGAGAAGGAGGAGGAGAAGGCAAGAGGAGGGGGGGAAGGAGGCTGGGGGAGGAGTCGGGAGGAGGAGGAGGAGGTTTTGGCAGAAGTAGTTTGAGCATTCGGGATTGAGCCTGCCTGCGCGAACGGCAGGCAGGTCCATGGGTGGCCCTCGGGGGAAGTTTTGAGGGCCTTGAGCACAACGTGCCTGACGGCACGGACGACAAGCATGTCCTTGGGCGGCCGTGGATCGCTCGCCAGGTGTCCGCATGGGGCCTCCGCCGCCCTTCGGGGGTGGCCTGCCAGCGGTCGTTAGTGACTCGCGCTGCTGCCACCCCGAGGCGCTGCTGCAGAGCGTGGCGGCAGGCCAGTGGCAGCTTGCTCGGGCAGAAGTCGGGGAACAAATGATTGCATGAGCAGGAAAGCTCGAAGCTCCACGCATATTCCTTGGGTCCACGCTGGAGCCCCCTGGGATTCGCGCGCCAGGGAGCGGGGTCCAGCGTCGATCCGAGAAATCCGCGCGGACCTCGGAGTTTTTAGAGTTTTTATGTTATGTCAGTGTTTGCTCCCCTAAGAAGGCCAGCCTGACTCTGCGCAACTCCTCGGCGGCTTCGAAAGGCACGCCTGAGTATCTCCATACTCAGACTGGTCGGGGCTGGTTCTGTGGTGGTCGTGTCGAGGCCCTGCTAGCGACATGCTACGGTGGCGTAGAAGCACAGAGAAACACTACACATAAGAGGAATAACAGGTAAACAAGCACGCTGTGGCGAGATAGGGCTGGGCGGGCCATGTCCACCAGGCCAGGAATCGTTGGTTTAGCCTGGCGAGCTTGGAGTACCCATTGACAGCTCGTCTACTCTGCAGATGAGGTTGCCAAGGCCTTATTCCAGGGCTTGGGCGCCAAATGGCGTATGCCTGTTTGTCGGCACTCTGGCCAACTCGCTTTTGGGTGCCCCCATTTAGCTCCATCGCTGGTGCAGCCATTCTGCCGCGCCGCCGACGAAAAAAGTTTGTCGACACTTGGGAGAAACTCATGTGGGCGATTGCAGTCACGAGGCTGTTAGGAAGCACCAAGATACACCTGTCGTGTAGGCTTCTGATGACAACGGCGTTCACGAATCCGTACGTGAAGGCGTCACTATTGCCGTCGATGAGGGTACTCTACTCTTCCTATGTGTTTTCGCTGTGGTCTGGTGGAGCCCCATGTTTCATAACGTGTGGGTGTGTCCTCAGTTCATGCGAAAGCGCGAGGAGTTACTCGGCAGCGGCACGGTGAAGGAGGCGATGGCAGCTGGTGAGATCGATCTCGTCTACTCCCGTTTCTGGCTTCCTCCTACTGATCACTCAGGGCGTTGATCTCACTCATCTTGCCAGGCAAGGCTCTGAGACATTCCAGGTGGAATTCATTACCTTTCATACGGAGGTCTTGATTTACAAAGGTGGCCCTTGCTTTTGCGCCGCTGTGCCTGGCATAGCCAGGCAGGAGGGGCATGCGTGTATGGATCCCGGCAGGACGTTTACACATTTTTTTTGGCCGTGGTTCGAGTTCCGCCTTTCGTTGGCATCGTGCTGCCTGTGAGGTTGACCAGCACAGGATCCTATCACCTCATGCGTCCTCAAAGTTCGAGCTGGCTGTTTAGGGGCTGTTTCCAATCTGGAAGAGTCCCGAGGCGACAGGTGCACTAAGGCCTCCCTCTGACTAGGAATCACTCGCGGTGGCCTGGTTGCTGTCAAAGAGAGAGCCTGCTAGAAAGGGCGCCCAGGTATGATGCCATAGCGGAAGCAAGGTGCCTTCGGCATGGAGCTGGCTGATACTGTTGCAAAGTGCGGTTGCATGTGTGAGTTCCATCTTACGGCTTTCATGGCATCCTGCGTCAGGGAGTTGCCAAAGAAGTGGCAATAATGCTCGTTCTTTGGCTAAGAACCCCGAGACTAGTTCGACAAGTCAGTGAGAGTTTCGTTGCCGGTTGCCGTCACCTCCCAAAGCCACCTCCTAGCGCAGAAGGTTGGCGGGTACGGGTGAGCGTGCGTCCTATGCCACCGCGCGGGGAGGGGAGCCACAGCCGGGAGTACGTGTGTGCGTGGTTCTGCAGGGTTCCATCCAGGGTTCAGCAACCGACTAAGCACCAGCCGTGGGTCGCAGTTGTTGGTGATCGTTTCCTTATTCATAGTTTTGCCGATCGGCGCGGGCCCTCGCCCCCCCCCTCCGCCCCCCCATGGAGCAGATGTTGGCTGTTTCTGGCGCCCGTTCCAAGCAGGTGGAGTCTCCCCCACAGGACGCACCGTTGCAAACAGTCGCACTCAGCAGAGGTCCGGAGCCATACCCCTCCTCTTCCCCCGCCTTCCGCCCAATGTCGAAACGCCGAAAAAGAAAACGCTCACTTGTTGAGACTTGAACCCGTGGCTTGTTTTGCCAAGCGCGCGGGCACCACAGAGCTCAGGATCTGGCCGCGCCGTGTCAGCCTCGCACGTCCAGCACCCAGAAAAAAGCTGCTCAAGTGGAGAATTTCTGGGAGGTGCCAGAGCGGCCCTGGAAGTCTCTGTGGCCGATCGCGATGTTTGGTTCATCCCTGCTTCGCGCCTCCATCTTTTCTCTGATGCGCCAGAGTCAGCACAGAGAGACAGAGAGAGGGCGGGGCGGCCGCAGTGGCCAGGCCGCCCGTGCGCCCTGGTGCAACCACCTGGTGACGCCTTCACAATCTAGAGATTTGGAGGAGGAGCGGGAGGAGGAGGAGGAGGAGGAGCGGGAGGAGGAGGACGAGGAGGAGGAGGAGGAGGAGGAGGAGGAGGAGGAGGAGGAGGGTAAGAACGCCACAGCTTGCAGCTAAGGTCGGTTTTACGTAAATAGGAGGATGATGATGATGATGATGATGATGATGATGATGATGATGATGATGATGATGATGATGATGCTGATGAGGATGATGATTATGATGATGATGACTATGATGATGATGATGATGATGATGATGATGATGATGATGATGATGATGATGATGTTGATGATGATGACGACTATGATGATGATAATGATGATGATGATGCTGATGCTGATGCTGATGCTGATGATGCTGATGCTGATGCTGATGCTGCTGCTGCTGCTGATGATGATGAGGATGAGGATGAGGATGAGGATGATGATGATGATGATGATGATGATGATGATGATGATGATGATGATGATGATGAGGGGGAGGAGAGGAGGAGGAGAAGGAGGAGGAGGAGGAGGATGATGATGATGATGATGATGATGATGATGATGATGATGATGATGATGATGATAAGGAGGAGGAGGAGGAGGAGCAGGAGCAGGAGGAGGAGGACGAGGAGGAGGAGGAGGAGGAGGAGAAGGAGGAGAGAAAGAAGGCGTCCTTCCCTGGCGACGCGGGGGTCGGGCCAGGGTCGCTGGTTCTGGACACTGACTCCTTCCAGTCATGTCTTCGGCATGTTTAGATCCCACTGTGCGCGTTGATTTTCGACGTCTGCCCTTGTGGCGCTTCGTGTGGGCTCCGCTTGCATCTCCCAGTCGCGTGATCGCTGGTCAAGATAGCAGCGGTTGCTGGTAGTGCGATGTAGTATCTGGTCGCGTGGTCTGCACCGCCTAGCCGCCAGTTCGGCCTGGCGCGACCAATCAGGGCAACCAGTGGGTTGCACGGCGACTGGGCTGTCGCCCGATCATGAGGTCGTGGGCCGCGGTGGTGCCTGCCGACAGGCAACTCGAGCCCCTTGGGGACCCAGCAGTGCTCCCCGGAGCCTGCCGCCACAGCGCTGCCTGATCGGGCCCCTGCCATTCCGGAGACTTCTTCTGGATGCGAGGGGTTCCGAACGTAGGGGGCACGGGCTTCCCAGCAGAGACAGGCTGAGCCCTGGGAAGGATAATAGTGACGGGGAAATGGGGGGTCGTGCGCGTTTGTGGTCGGAAGTCGATGTCGCCTCGGACTCGCAGAAGAGATTGACCGAGGCCCAGGGAGGATGCCCACGGCGGGGGGAGCTGCAGAGGATGGCTCGGAGATGTCTGATCAGAGACGTGGCTGTATGCCGTGCTAATCTTCGACCCTGTGCGGGCCTGGCAAGGCCTGGGTTGGGTGTGCAGCTAACGTTCCCCCCTGGGGTTGCGGATCACCTTCGCAATCTGTTGGCACTTGGCTCGTGATGTGAACGGCACGTTCGCGAGGTAACAGGGGAATGCTGCGAGCTTGATGGATGCTGCCACGTAGAGAAGCCCTGGGGGCAGAGACGGGGCAGCTCGTCCGGCCGCCTTGGTCCAAGGTTACCCGCAGGGGGGGCGAAGGAAACAGTGCTTTGCACTTCGCGGTCTGGGCCAGGGAGCGCAGAGCTGCTCTTCTCCAGCCGACGGCGCGAGGGCGCGAGAGAGTCGCGCTTCGTGCTGTGCAGAGCGCAAAATTAGGTGACCTGGGTGTGATGGCCAGGGCGCATGGGCGGTTTCCTCGCCCACCCACGCGCACCCCACCCGCTCATCCTGCAGGGTCCCTTTGTACGGGCGCCAGTGCCTTGCCAGCTTTCAAGCCATCATGACATGACGTCTTGATCTACGTTCCGATTGTATTCTTGGAGACGGGGGACGCCGGGTAGTCAAGATCCTGTTCCAGGAGCGTCCACGTGTCCTGAGCAGCTGCCGAAGGTCCAAGACTTCCTACATCAGGCGATGGTCCAGGACGAACTGTTGGGGACCTCGGGCAAACGGACCTGCGCGACAGGTCTGCTCGGGCGGTTTTCTGTACACTGGTTCCATCATGTCGGGTGTCTGAACAGCGTGACTGGCAAAGCGTGCCGCTGGGCATCTGGAGAACGGGTCCGTCCGTCATCCCTCGGGGGTCGCCAGTTGTCTCTCGGCTCTGGTGGCCATGGCTGTCGTAACGACGAGTGCGCACGCCGCGATTGTGACAGCGCTTGCCGCGCCGATGAAGCCCTGCAGGCTGCCTCGGTCGTAGCGCTAGGAGGGTCTCGGGTGGGAAATGCTGCCTGCAGAGGCAGGCGTGGAGAAGCTGCTCGTGGATTCGGGCGCCGAGAATTGAGGCACGCCTGGCCTGCAAGGGGGGCAGTGGAGTGGAGGACTGTGGGCTAGGGAGAGTCTCTCTCTATCTCTGTTCCCTGTCTCTCTCTCTCTCTCTTTTTCTCTCCGTCTGAGCCGACGACACGACCTCGGTCAAGTGAAGAGAGAGAGCGGCTGGTACAGGTCAGGGTGTTGGCTGCTCAAATCAATCCCGTGTGTCTCGCATCGCTCAGAATTCCCAGGCAGAAGGGCCAACCTCGTCTTCTGGGTCGCCCTGCCTTCGCGTCCGCCCTCGCCTGCCTCTGGCGCCCGCTTTCCCCTCGCGCCTTCCCCCGCCATCCGCCTTCGCCGATTGCCGTGGGTGTCCTCTCGCGGAGGGCTCGGGGGTCTGGGCCTGAAGCGAGCGAGTGGTTCTTGATTTTTTCGGCCCGCAACAGGTTCCGATGCCGTCTTCTCGATCCCATCTGGGCTGAACTCTGCTCTGGTCGGCAAGGCCATCTTTGGGGATATATCCGAAAGCAAGCAAGCACTGGGCAGAGTGGCAGCTGGGTTGGAGCTTTGTGCGCTCATATGAATCGATGAAGCCCGTACTGCCCACGGGGCGTTTACATACATACATATATACATACATATATATATATATATATATATGTATACATATATATATATATATATATATATATGTGTAGACAATGTTTATCTACACATGGAGTGGTCTTCGGTCCGTCCCATTACCGAACTTGGGATGTTGGTCGTATTCCTCTTGGATGCTTCTCGGAGTATCTTGGGCTGCCTCTTGGGAGCCTCTTGAAGGCCTCTTCGGGGCCTCTTGTGTGCCTCTTGGGGCCTCTTGCGGGCCTCTTGGGAGCCACTTTGGGGCCTCTTGGGGCCTCTTGGGGGCCTCTTCTGGGCATTCTGGGGGCCTCTAGGGGGCAGGCCTCTTGAGAACCTCTTGAAGCCTCCTGGGGGTCTCTTCGGCCCTCTTGGAGGCCTCTTGGCAGTCTCGGGAGCCATCTTGGCCCTAAAGGGATCGAATGCTCGTCCGTGGTACCACCTTCGGGGGCAGATTGTTCGAGGACGTCTCGAGCGAAACGGCAGTTCTTAGCTTGAGGGGAATGCACGTGGGAAATCCCCGGGAGTGCCCGGGAGCGCCCACGAGCGCCCGTGAGCATCCAGAACCCGGCGTTGCGGGCGTCTGAGAGGGTAATATTTTGTAGCAGTTCATGGGAGCCTGGCGTACCCTTTTTATTCCGTCTTCAGCGTCGACTAGCGTCGATTAGCGTCTGGGGGTCGATGAGATAGCGCCGATTTAGCGTCGGTTAGCGTCGATTAGCGTCGATTTGGCGTCGATTAGCGTCGATTTAGCTTCGATTAGCGTCGATTCACTGGAGCCGACAAGATGGTATGGGAGTCCCATGAGCTGCCACCGCAGTATTACAATTCCCTATACATGGAACTCTTGGGGACCTGTCGACGCTCCACTCAGTGCCTGGCGGCATGGTGGCGGATATGCACATCTAGGACAGCTGCAGCACTGCAATTCGGCGGGGAGTAACCCTGAAGTGTCAGTCTGCTTTCGTCGGCTGGGCGCAAGGCATTGGTGATCAATTGGCCTTCTGTCAGGGCGACGGGTAGGCTATGAGCAGATAGTTGACGAAGCAGATGGATAGCTATGTGTTGGACCACTAGCAAGCAATGTGGAATCTGGTGGCTAACCCGTGCGTGCGTAAGTAGGTGGATGGAAGTTTATTGGGTAGTTGGGTAGTTGGTTGGGTAGGTGAGTAGAAGGTTCTTTAGTGAGGCATTCGCGTTATGTGCATATTATGGGTCCTATCCCTATTTTTTTCTTGCCCTAGCTCCCTCATCTCCTGTTGTCCTTCTCTTTCCATCCTCACTTGGTCCCTGGCTTCCTTGTCCAGTCCACCCTCTCTTACGTTCCCCCATCATCCCATCATTGAGAATGTGTGGTGCAGTCATGACCAGTCGGCAGTTTGAACGATGTTTCTCATCCTCCCCGAGGTCGCCACGTCTGGGCTCGATGGGGACTGCGAATAGCGCTGACTCCATGTGACCTTGTCGACCTCGGCACTTCGCGCGGTAGATTGTGCGCTTTCCGGAAAAAACTGACTCGCCGACGCGAAAGAGGAGCACCACCGTGTGATTCCATCACTTTTCCCCCACCCTTCTGCAGGCAGGGGTCTCGCAGATACCTTCCACTCTTCATTTCTCCTTCCCCTGTCTTCATTCTCACCACTTGTTGTATGGTCCTCGGGGTGCAGGATTTAGGATGGCTCAGGTAGCGTCACCCGCAATGCAGTTTTTGGGCATTTCTGCACTGTTGTTGACCATCCAACGCAGAGATCTCCAGACGTCTCGACGCCCGCTTCTGTTTCCTCGCCGCAGTTTGCCAACCAATTGGGCCGACATCGACTGCGCGCTCGGCTCGCCATGCTGCCCATCATTACATGCTGTGAGGCCATCATGATTCCACTGCAAAAGCGTGCTTGCGATCGAAGTCTGTCGCGCGCAGCCAAGCGGCTGAAGCACCCTCGATGCGCGGGTCATGGGCGGGCCGCCATGCAGGCCTCTTTTTGTATCGTGACAGAGCAGTGGTGATAGAAGCTTGCTGCGATTGCTTCCTCCGACTGGCTGTCATCACCTTGGATTTTGCAAATGGTGAGCTGATCCTGCATGCTCTCTGTTGCACGTGCTGGCGGCTCGCTATGAGCACCCTCTTGTCGCTGTCCCCGCGCCCAAGGGGGGATGGAACACGGCGGGGAGGGGAGGGCCCTGCAATTGGCCTCCGTCTTGTAGGGGATCCGAGTCAAACATGTCGACATTTCAAGCTGGCACAGGGCTTCTTGCAAGACGGGACTCCATCGAATGCAGGCTTACCCACGCATTGTTTCCTGTATTGAACGTGCTCTGTCTAGTCATCTTCATTCTCGCAACGACGGCTCGCTCCACTGCTCAATGCCATGTCATGTTAGGCTATGTTCCCCAAAGTAGTATCACATCATGATATGTTGTGTTATGATGTGGCACTTGGTGGTGCACTCCAAGGTCTTTGTTGGTGCGGCAGACTGTGTTCATCTGCGCGCCCGTATGTGAGCCTTTACGCTGCGCGTTCAATTATGTCTTGGCGCGTGTAGCTTGTCGCTTGTCAGGGTGGTCTCTGGGATAGGTGTGAGGACAGATATTGTATAGTGGAAGTGCCGGATAGGGATCCCGAGGTATTGTGGAGAAGTGTTTTGGTATGATGCTCTTGGCGTCCTTTATTGGCAGTTGTTTGCATTGTTGCATCGTCTATTTCGTCCGCCGACCTGTGGATTGCTCTGCGCGTTGTCGAGCCGCGATGCGACAGGCCTTGCCGAGACTACTTGGTGCTCCTGGTCGCAGCGGGCTTCTGGCGCATGGGCCAGTGTGGGCAGCCGCCGATGGCAGGGCGGCGCGCCTGCGGCGAGGATCGCGCAGCCAGTGCCCAGCCCCAGTGAGCGCAGGTGTGTGCTTGCGAAACCTTCAAGAGACTTAGTCCTATCTAGGGCACTTCTTTTTTCCACTCGTCGCCGCTCCCCCCCTTCCCCCCCTCCGCACGACCCCTTCCGACATCTTCTCCCGTATTTCCGTTACGCATACTGCTGGCCATAGGGTGGATGGTCTGGCGACCCGTTGGTCAAAACCGGGGGTGCTCAACGACAGGAGCTATCGCGCGCGAGAAGCCCTCCCTCAACAAAGGGGCAGCTTGGTCTTGGCGCTGACTCATGGATGGTTTATCATGGGGTTCCAGCTCGCCGTGCAGTGGTGCGGATCTTCCCATGCCCAACTGCTCAACCCTTACCATGAGCCACCGCGTGTTCTCCAAGTCTGGTTGTCTGCGAGACTTCGAAGGGCTCGTGAGAGACACTGTTTTCTTGCAGGGCCTCGTGTGGGGCGTCATGCTGTAGCGGGCATTTGATTCCTTTGCCCCTCGTGGCTCCAGTGGGGGTATGGCTACGCGCGCCGCTTCGCCTAGCAGCCTGTGCCGCCTGGTGGCTGGCACCTCCCCACGCCTCGCGCGTGGAATGGGTTGGAGTTTGGAGTTAGCACTTCATTACAGCACAGTGCTTCTGACGGGGAGCGGAAGTGGTGCATGCAGCCCTCCAGGTCCACGAATAGTTTTTCGGCGGGGAGCGTTCTGTCCTGATCGGCCGTGTGGCAGGGCTTGCCACGGTGCCCAGTTCTCCGTGCCGCCCAGTGGCTGGCGCCGTCTCGCGTATCTCGCGCGCGGAGTGGATCTGAAAACATGGCTCGTGCTGATGAGGAGGAACATTCCGAACGCGCACGCGTTGAGGTTAGCCAAAGTGGCTTCAAGACTTCCATGAGCTCTGATTTTAGTTTCCCCGGAGCTCCTGGCGTCCAATTTTTTTCGAGCCGGGAGTGTTCGCATTTTTTCGGGCCCCAGGACCCTCGCATATCGATCCGGCTTGAAAAGCTACGCAGACAGATGGGGTCCAGGGCTCTGGGCGTGCTTTTTTACGATGTTGCAATTTTTTCGTTACGTCGGATCTCAGGGTCGCACTGGTCGTGACAGCAAGCACAGGATTGCCACACCGTGCGGTCGACTGGCAGTCTGACTCAGAGAAGGGGGATGAAGAGGCTGGTCATGATGGTGACGGTCATTACGAGGGCAATGGTGACGGTCTTTTGCTATCTCTTTGCTTCCTTCTCTATGTATCCATTGCTGTATCTTTCTCAGTGTCGGCGTCCCCTTTACTACGGATTTCTACGGTACACGCTTTGTTGCCATGCATGTCAAAATTATATGCCCAGCTTTTTGTCCACTCGAACTATCCGTTCAGGTGTTTTTCTACTATTTTTCTATCCGTGCCCCACACCACCATCCACCACACACGCACACACCACCACCTCCTCTCCCTCCTCCTCCCTCCTCCCTCTATTACTTTTTCCTGCCCCGATCACCTTCCCCTCCTCGTCCTTCCCGCTCCTCCTCCCTCCTTCCGAAGGCATGGAGTGCTGTAGAAAGCCCCCCGTAACCCCATTCCAGAGGCGGTGGTGGTGCGGTGTGGTGCGGTGTGTGTGTGTGTGGGGCAAACATATAGTAGCATAACAATGAGACAGAACAAGTGTTGTTAGGGGGAGAGACAGCAATTTTTTATGCCCCCCCCACACAAACACACCCAGCGCACACACGCACACACCACCACCTCCTCCTCTCCCTCCTCCCTCGCCCCTCTACCACCTCTCTCTCCCTCTACCACCTCCCCGTCGTCCTTCTCCCTCCTCCTCCCCCCTCGTCGCTTGACCACCTCCCTCTCCCTCCTCCCTCTACCGCCTCCCTCCTCCCTCCTCCCTCTACTGCCTCTCCCTCCCTCCCTCCTATGTTGCCGCGGATCAAATGATGCAGAGACGCTGCCGAACATATCAAGTTGTACTCTTTCGAAGGCTGTCTGTGTAATCACATGACCTCGTTACATAACATCAGCCGCGGCGCGCAAGTGCCCACGCCCTATTTGGCTCATCTACAGTGCAGTGCAACGTATACCTGGCTCGCCCCTTTTTCCTCTTCTGCTCTCTCTCTCTCTCTCTCTTTTCCCCTCCCAGGTATCCCGATCAAGGCCCCCTTACTAAAAGGAACCCTTGCTGAAGGCACACCCCTTGTGAAGGAACCATGTTTGATGGACGTAGAAGTAAGGAGTCCTTACTACAGGGGCCCTTACTGAACGGCTCCTTGATAAAAGGCAGCCCCATCAAGGAAGCCTCGTTAAATTTGTCCGTCGTGAGGGCACCATTGCTACAGACACCCATACTCAGGACCCACATCCTCATCAAGGAGTCCTTACGAACGGAAGGAGAGGATCCTTACAACAGGCACCACCACTAATGGGGCATTCTACACAGTACGGGTGTCCAGCGTAAAGGGGGTCTTTACGACATACCCGTTGGTAAACGGCACCCCTACTAACGAATGCTCACTAAGCTGAAGACACCGCCATTAACGGAGCTTTCTAAAGGTCGTCGTGGTAAGGAATCCATGTCGCAGGGATGCGTACGAACGGAATTCGTACTGAAGGCATCCCAACCAAGCAGCCCTTATGTAAGAACGCACGCGCAATGTTACTCTACGACGAGAATCCTTCTTATAGGGGATGCGTACGGCAGACAGTCCAACTAAGGATTCCTCACGAAAGGGATCCTCGCTAAGGATCCATTGGTAAGATAAAAAAGGAATTCTTACTGACGAATGCTTGCCACAAGCACGCCCGTTCAGGAACCCTCAGTCAAAAAAATATCCTTCCTAAGAGTTCCGTGACGCAGGCGTTCTTACGAATATATGTTTACGGAAGAAGTCCTTGTCAAAGGCTCCCAGCACAACAAAAACAACTACTGAATGCGGACAAAGTGCCTACCACAAGCATCCCTACCACGGATTTCCAGCAATGACCCCAGTGGAGGCGTTCGCATGGCGTTCCATGGGGGCTCATCGGCTGGGCCCTGCGTGAATGTGAAGGGAGGAGGAGCCAGACAGACAAAGAGAGAGAGAAAGCGAGAGAGTGAGCGAGAGAGAAAGAGAGAGAGAGAGAGAGGGGGTGGAGAGAGCGAGAGAGAGAGAGAGAGAGAGACAGCAACCATTTCCTCCCGCCACTTCCCCCTCTGCGTTGTGGGCTGTGCGAGAGAGCAGCCAGCCCCCCCTCCCGTGCCCTGCGTTCTACGGGATCCTTCCCAAAGAGCTCCTTTTTCGGGACCCCTTACTGAAAGCATCCTCACTTCGGACCCCTGACGAAAGGCATCCTTACCAGGTAAGCGTGAACTGTGCAGCATGAGCAGTGAACGCTTGCCTCCAGTATCCGCACTGAGGGAATCTGCGTAAAAGGCATCATCATTAGGGATCCTTACTGAAGTTCCCTTGGTGGGGACATCCTGACTGGCGACTGCTTACCGAAGGCGCCCTCACTAAGGATTCTTCATTCGAAGATCTCTACTCAGGGTTCCTGCATACAGGAATCCGTACCAATGAATGTTGATTAAGGAACTTATTACCAAGGAAACCTCACTAACATAAATGCTTACTAAGGATTCTTGGCGCAAGCATTCTTATTGAATCGCTTCGCTCATTCCGCCGGCCCGTGATATGGCATCGCTGGTTTTTTGTCTGTGTGTTCGTTGCCCATGTTGCGCTCTTGGGGGCGGGTGTCGTTCGGACGCGTTGCGTGGGGAGTTTTGATGGTGAAGCAGTTCCCTGGGGGTCGTCTCTCGATGGGGCGAAATAGAGTCGTCGTCAAGATGCTTCTTTGGGGGGCCTCTTGGGGTCTGTTGAGAGGCCGTTCGGGGGCGCCTGGGAGACATGTTTGAAGCCTTCTGGGGCTTCTTTTGGGCCTCCTGGGAGTCTCCTGGGGCCTCTTGGCGACATCTTGGGGCCTCTTGGAGGCCTCTTGGGGCCTCTTTGGGACCTCCTGGGCGCCTTCTGGGACGGAGGGCTCCATTTTTGAGTTCTCGGTATCCCTCCTGAGTCCCTCTTGGGCCCGTCTTGGGCTCTTGGTCCGTCTTGGGCGGCACTTGGGCCGTCTTGAGGGCTCTCTTGGGTCGTTTCGGCGCCGTCTTGGGAGCTTCGTGGGCCGTCTTGGAGCGGTCTTGGGGGCCTCTTGGGCCGTCTTGGAGCGTCCGGAAGCCGAAAAAGCCAGAACACAAAAACATCGAAAAAAACAATGAAAATCAACGATTTTGGCCTCTTGGGGCTCTCTTCGGAGGCCTCTTGGAAGGCTCTTGGGGCGTCTTGGAGGCCTCTTGGGCTGTCTTGGGGGCCTTTTGGGCCGTCTTGGGGTCATCTTCGGCGTCTTCGAGCGCTCTTTGGGCGTCTCGGGGGCCTCTTGGGCAGTCTTGGGGGCCTCTTGGGGCACTCTGAGCGCGCTCTGGGGAGCCTGAGAGGCCGCACCCAGAAGGAAAACCATCTCTGAGTAGACTTGGTCGGGCGGCGGTCGGGCGGCGGTCGGGCGTTGGTCGGGGTACTTTTCGCCGGGGGACCCCCAGGGGCCGCCCCGCGCGCGCGAACTAGAAATACTGTTAATACTGTTAACCAGTTACCGGAGATCTTAGCACGCCCTGGCCCGTTGGGCCGGCGAATTAAGGGCCTCCAGCAATGGCCCAAGCGGAGGGTTTCGCATGGCGTTCCATCGGTGTTTCATTGGCTGGGCCTTGCGGGAGAGAGGGAGAGCGAGAGATAGGGAGAAACAACATAAGACAGCGAGAGAGAGAGAGAGAGAGAGAAAGAGAGAGAGCGAGAGAGAGAGAGAGAGAGGGAGAGATAGAGAGCGGCCATTTCCTTCTGCATCTCCCCCCTTCTGTGTTGTGGGCTGTGTGAGTGAGCAGCCAGGGCTCCCTCACGTTTCCTCCCCCTGCGGACTCCTTAACAAAGGACTCCTTTCCCAGGATCCCTGACTGAAAGCGTCATTAAAGAGTCCTTGCGAAAGGAAGTAGTCGTAAGGAACCCTTGAGACAGGGACCTTCCCTGCGGGGATCCCCTGTGCTGCGAGCGCAAAGTGGGAGGCAGAGAGGCCCCTTCCCTGGCATTGCCTTCGAAATTCCAACCCTTCGCTTGTTGGCAATGGGCTGGAACTCCATGGGCCATGCTTGGGGGGTCATGTTTTTTCGGTCGATTGGCTGTCCTCCAAGATACCTTCATATTGTCAAGCTGCCCTCCAATATTCCCTAATCTGTGTCTCGATGCTGGAGGAAGAGGAAGGAGGAGGTGGAGGATGAGGAGGAGGAAAACGATGAGGGTAAGGGGTATGAGGCATGACAGTGCCGCGTACTCCACAATGGCCTGGCCTCGAAGTCTCACGAGGTCACCTCCGCTGGCGAAAGCGGGCGGAAGGCTGGCGGAAGCCGGCGAAAGTAAAAAAGGCGTCCCCAGGAGATGCCGTTTTTTGTTTGTTTGTTGTATTTTGGGGTTTCCGGAACCAGCCATATGACTCTTACAGCGGTCAGGTCTTGTTGCCACAAAGATGTCGCTCCTTGAGGAGTCCCTGCTCTAGTTGCGATGTCTTCCAGCGTGCCCGCCCGAGGATGGTGCTCCTCCCCCTTTTCCCGTTTTCCCCGTTCTCCCCTTATCTCCTCCTCCCCTTCCCCCTCCCCTCCCCTCCTCCCTCTGAGAGTGCTTACGCTTTAATCTATGTTGGCCTGATGCCCGCCCTGGACTTGTGAGACGCTTGGTGCACTGTGCGTCTCTATTTCGCGTTATTATATTGCTCTCTTCCTTCTTCCTGTGTTGCCCGGGTGCTTTGCGGCCATAATCTGTTCATGTCATGTGTTGTTTTGTCTGTCCCGTTGGTGTCGTTCTTTGCGCCCTCTATGTCTCCAGATCAAGGACATGGGTTGGTGCAGCCTGGTGAACTGTGGAGCTGCTGGGGCAGAGCTGCACTGCCCGTGCAAGTGCGCGACCGCCAGCACGGCAGCTCACTTCTTCTCTTGTTGAAGTCGCCAATTTAGGGAGCTGTGCATGTCCCAAGGCATCGAATGCTGCTCGTCGCGCTGTTTCCCTGTTGTGTGTGTGTGTGTGTGTGTTTCTTAATGAAGTAGTGCATGCTCTCAATGTCGCCGTCGTCGTTGTCATCGAAGACGCCTACGGCGAATCACCGCCGCCCCCTGCCGTTTCGGAAGCGCCTATGTGGCCGAACGTTGAGGCCAGACCTGCCAAGCTATCGGACCATGTGTTCCCCCAATCGGTTTGGAAAGTCTTCGGGGAACACGTGGGCATCTTGAAGGTCGTCTTGGCCGTCTGGAGGCCATTTGGACCCTTTCGGGCCTTCTTGGAGGACGTCTTGGAGGGCTCTTGGGCCGTCTTGGAGGCCATCTTGAGCGTCTTGGAGACCTCTTGGGCCGTCTTGGGGGCCTCTTGGGGCCGTGTCTTGGGCCTCTTGGGCGATCTTTGGGGGCACTTGGGCCGTCTCGGGCCGTCGCAAGGCCGAAAAAAGCGAATGCCACAATCCTTCAAAAACCCAAGGGAAATCAATGCTTTTGGCCTTTTCGGGCCTTCCTGGAGGCCTCTTGGAGGCCTCTTGGTCCGTCTTGGGCCATCTTAGGGCCATGTTCGGCCGTCTTGGTGGGCTCCTGGTCCGTCTGACGCCGACGGAAGCCGTTTGGGGGGCCTCTATGGGCCGACTTGGAGCCCTCTTGGAATGCTCCAGGGCCGTCTTGGAGGCCATCTTGGGCGTCTTAAAGGCCTCCTGTGCCGTCTTGGGGGCCTTTTGGGGCCGTCTTGGGGCCCTCTTGGGCCGTTCTGGGGCCATCTTGGAGGCCTCTTGGGCGATCTTTCTGCGATCTTTGGGGGCTCTTGGGCCGTCTCGGGCCGTCGGAAGGCGGAATGTCAAAATCCGTCAAAAACCGATGAACATCAAGGCTTTTGCCCTCTTCTGGCCTTCCTGGAGGCCCTCTTGGGGGCCTCTTGGGCCGTCTTGGGCCAGCTTCGAGCCAACTTCGGCCATCTTGGTCTGTTCCTGGCACGCCTGACGCCGTCGGGAGCCGTCTTGGGGGCCTTTCTGGGCCGACTTGGGGCCCTCTTGGGGCGCTTCGGGGCCGTCTTGGAGGCCATCTTGGGCGTCTTGGAGGCCATCGTGGGCGTCTTGGAGGCCTCTTGGGCCGTCTTCGGGCCCTCTTGGGGCCGTCGTGGGACCCTCTTGGGCCGTCATGGGGCCATCTTGGAGGCCTCTTGGGCGATCTTGGGGGCCTCTTGGGCCGTCTTGGGCCGTCGGAATGCCGAACAGGCGCAAATTCCAACATCCTTCGAAAACCAACGGAAAATCAATGATTTTGGCCTCTTCGGGCCTTCCTGGAGGACTTCTTGGAAGCCTCTTCGGCCGTCTTGGAGGCCTCTTGCGGGCCTTTTGGGCCGTCTTAGACCATCTTGAGGCCATCTTGGGCCGTCTTGGATGCATCTTGGGGCCATCTTAGCCGTCTTGGAGGCCATCTGGGCTGTCTAGGAGGCATCTTGGAGGCCATCCTGGGCCATCTTGGCCGTCTTGGGACCATCTTGGGCCATCTTGGGACGGAACAGGCGTTGACTTGTGCAGTTTCCGGGTGGCCGGTGGGACGCGCCGGAGCCCCAGGGGGAGTTCTTTTGTCTGTTCCTGGCACGTTTGACGCCGTCGGGAGCCGTCTTGGGGGCCTTTCTAGGCCGACTGGGGGCCCTCTTGGGGCGCTTCGGGGCCTTCTTGGAGTCCATTTTGGGCGTCTTGGAGGCCATCTTGGGCGTGTTGGAGGTCTCTTGGGCCGTCTTGGGGCCCTCTTGGGGCCGTCTTGGAGGCCACTTGGGCCGTCATGGGGCCCTCTTGGGGGTCTCTTGGGCGATCTTGGGGGCCTCTTGGGCCGTCTTGAGCCGTCTGAAGGCCGAACAGGCGAAAATGCCCAAATCCTTCCAAAACCTAAGGATAATCATAGGAGTGCTTGCACGTTATTGTCAGGGCTGCTCCATGGCTTTTGATCTTTCTCAAGTGCATGAGCGGGGCTGGGCCATGGCCCCTGGCGGCGCCGCCGCACTCGCGGTGAGTGCCGCGGTGGGGGCGCCGGCTGCCTGGGCCGGGCTGCGCTGGGCGGCGAGCTGGCTGGCGGCGCTGGTGGCCGCCTCGACCAGCTGCCCGTCCTGCGTGTGCCACACGCCGCAGTGGCCCCCGCCCGCGCCGCCGCCGCCGCCGCCACCGCCAGCGCCGAGCGCCGGCGCGGTGGCCGCGGCTGTGGCGCAGGAGCTCGGGCCCTGGCTGGTGGCGAACTCCTCGCCTGCGCCAGCCACTTGTCCCTCGGCCGCCGAGGTGGCCGCGACGCTGCTGGAGCGGCTGCCGCCCCTGGGGCCTGGAGAGGCCCGCGCGGCGCCGCCCGTGCCCGAGGCAGGCCCAGCCTTGGGCGAAGGCCGTCTCTTCGCCTTCCTCCTGACGGGGGGGATCGCTTGCGGGGAAGGAGTGATCTTGGTGTGCTGCCGCGCGGTGGCCCGAGCCCGTCGCGATGATCGCCCCGCTCCCCCGCCGCCGCCGCGGGCGGACGACCCTGGCCGCGGACGGCACCCTCGTCGAGGTGGGGGCGTGGTGCAGTGAGCTCCGGCCAGGACGACGGGTCGGGCTGTGGTACCCACGCGACACGGTGTGGCACGAGCGGATGCTGCTCTACCCTGCGGGGGGCACATACTGGTGGGTGCTGACGCCAGACGCCGATCGGTACGTCGAGGACGTGTCGGGGTCCGTCGGCGACGGCTGCAACAGGGCCTTCGTCGTCGCGCTGGACGGCGCAGCGCCCGCCTTGGCCCACGGCTCCTTCTACCGGTTCGCGCAGCCGCTGACCTGGGAAGAGCTGCGCAGCGAGGTGCTCAGGTCGAGGACCGACCAGCAGGAGCACGCCGGTGACGAGCCCGTGGATGACCCCGCGGAGGTCTACACCTGGGAGGGGGTCTCTCGCCCGTTCGGTCTCCTACGACGTCGCCTTCCGCTGCGGGGGGCCAGGGAGGCTGTCGGGGGACCGACGCCCCTCCTGGTGGCGCTTCGCCCTCGGCGGGCGCTGAAGAGGCAGTCGTCCCCGCCCCACTATAGCGCTGGAGCCGCCTGAGGGATGCTGCTGGCTGGTCAACTTGCCCGGCCCCCTTCGCTTGGGAGTCGAGGTGGTGCTGGAGGCTGGCGGCGTCAGGCTGGGCGACGACCACGCGATGGTGAGGGAGGCCGGCTCCTGGCAGCTCGTGGAGGCGGTCCCCGTCGGCGCGGTGGGCTCCTTCAGGGACAGGCGCCCGAGCGAGCTGCTCGTGCTGGTCGAGAGGGACCTGCCCGCTGACGCCCGCGTCAGGGGACCTCCGCTGCCGCCGCCGGCCTTGCCCTCTGGTGGCGAGGCAGATCCCTCGCGCGGAGCTGCCGAGGCCACGGGCCCCAGCGCTGACGACCAGGACCTGGGAGACAGGCTGGGGGTGCCCCCCCCAGGGGGCGCGCGAGGCGGACTCGTTCGACGACGTGAGGACGCTGTGGGTTCAGCACGACGAGCAAGGGGACCGCCACAAGCCGTGGCGCGAGGTTGTCCGTGAGATCAGGAAGTGCACGTTCAAGGACTGGCCACTCGAGGACGGCCTCAGCACGGTGGAGCACATGGTGAAGCGCTGGGAGCAGAACGGCGGGCCCCCCTTGCTCTGGTTGGACCTGTGGGCGCGGGGCCGGCTGCTGAGCCAGACGGACCGCAGCTGCATCGAGATGAAGTGCCTGCTCACGGCGATCTTCTATGCGGGAAGCTACGACCAGGTCAATTTGCCCAGCGTGGCCAGCATTGAGGTGTTGCGCCGTCGGGTGTCGCAGATCGTCGAGGCCTACTCGGGTGATCCCAACAAGCCCCCGAAGTGGGGTGGGCTGCGGCACTGCGTGGGCGTGGCAGGCCCGATGGGCGTTATTGACCCAGCCTTGAGGACCGCAGTCTTCCGCCGCAACAAGGAGGATATGGAGCTGGAGAACTGGAAGAGCCGGGCTGCCGGGCTCCCCGTGCCCAGGCCCCTGGCGCTGGAGGCCGGCGAGGGGCTCCCGAGCGGGCCCTCCGGCGGCGCCGACGGGCGCGGCCGGGGCCGCGGCGACGGCCGAGGCCGCGGCGCTGACGGGCGCGGTCGCGGCGCTCCTGGGGGCGGCGGCGGACGTTGGGCGGCTGGGCGCGGTGGGGAGCTCACCGCGCCCGAGGGGGCATGACTGCCCCCGCCGGCGGAGTTGGGCGTCCCGCCGGTAGCGCACAGCCCAGTCGCGAAGTCGGGGTGAACCTGCTATCGGTGTTCCCCTTGCCGAAGCTGAGCGACCATGAGAGGGGCTGGCCACAGCTCCAGGGCCATGGGTCTTCTCGGCTCGCCAGGCGGGCCTGCCAGGAGTTCGACGAGGTCGTCGACGCTTTGAATTGGTTGATGAATCGCACCTCCACAGGCGACAAGCCGAATTTTGACCAGATGAAGGTGCACGCGCGGATCCGGGAATGCGTGGCTGAATGTATGCCGCCAATGGAGACCGCGATCCCTTCCCCGCGAGCGGCCTTGTCTGAGCTGCTGCACGGCCGCAGTGTCTATGACGAGTCGGCCGGACGGAACGTCGGACGTCTTCGCAATGTGGGGCAGATATCTTTACCTAAGACCGCGGTGGGAGGGCCACGGCTGTTAGACATCGTTCCTGCCCATGCACGCCAGTATCTCGAAGACCGTTTTTCTCGGATGCTTCTAGATGAGGCTAGTTTACGCTGCCGACTTGATGAGTGTGATGTCATTCCTCACTGGGGCCCCTCCCTGGCTCGCAACCGCAGGCTCTACGTCCAAGCTCCTCTACGCCGAGGGCCTTCTGGTGCTCCTGGACGAGAGTGGGCGGCGCGAGGACGTCGGGATCTTTTTCGTCGCTAAGAAGTCAGACCAGCTGCGTCTCACCATAGACGCTCGGTGCAGCAACCTACACTTCACCTCGCCCCCTG